TACCCGTCTGGAGCGTCTCAGCGGGGGCATGTAAGCAGGAGCCAGGAAGATTGAGATGTGGTCTGACAGTCCTAGGTGGGGGCGGGGTTCGGCTTTGTATGCATCTTTTACGTTCGTGTAAACACGGTCCAGCGTGCGGTCTGCACGTGTCGGAATCGCCACATGTTGATTAAAGCTTGGGAGACAGTCCTTTAGATTCACGTGGTTAAAGTCTTCGGCTACAATGTAAAGAGCCTCGGGATGTTTGTTCTGCAGCGAGCTGATGATATCATGAAGCTCCTGCAGTGATTCATTAGCATTAGCGTCCGGAGGAATGTAGACGACAGAGAAGAAAGTCACCGTGAACTCTCGGGGTTGATAATGTGGTCGACATTTCACTGTTATTTGCTCCAAAGCCTTCGAGCATGAGCTATTTACAACAGTACAGTTTGTGCACCAACTTTTACTCACGTAAATGCACACTCCGCCTCCCTGTGATTTCCCCGTTAGCCGTCATCCAGCTGGAAGACTGTGTCCGGCGTTTCGCTTGTAATCCACGTTTCCGTGAGGCAAAGCACCATACACTTCTTCATCTCTTCTGAGGCGCCCGCTCTCAGACGAAGAAAATCCATCTTGTTGTCCAACGAGCGGACATTCGACAGAAAGAGAGACGGCATGTGGAGTTTACCGGCTTTCGCGTTAGCTCGTAGCCTCACCATAACCCCCGCCCGGCATCCTCTCCTCTTAAGCCGGGAGCAGCGCTTCCTCTTTTGCCCGCTGGAACGCCTCTGCTCTGACTGGATGTTCCCACAAAATCCAGGACCCCCTCTGGACAGTTAATTCAGTTTGTTGTTTGACTGATAGCTCTTTGCTTTGTTTCCATAGTGAAAAGTCATATTGCTTGGCTGACAATTTCTTTGTTGTTGTGTCAGTGGTGCTCGACTGACAGTTTCTTTGAACCGTCCCATTGGTCAGTTTCCCAGACCCAACTTCAGCGTCCCCCTGAACACATCTGGTATCCGATCCGGCACCCAGCACTAGAGGGTCATGATCACAACTCAGATGGATGCTGTATGTATCTGAAGACTACCTGTCTGTGTTTTGTGGGCCTAGCCAGACTCACCTCCCCAATCCACAGCTCTGTCTTCTCAGGCTGCTGAGAAGGAAAAATAAACAATCCAATTATTAAAAGTCTGATTCAACCTTAAGCATCTGTTATCAACATTAATCCTCTGTTAGCAAGTTCTATTCTGGGACCACAGCGTTTACCTTCAACAGAGTCATTCTGGTGTCCTGGATTGCACAACAGATGTTTTAAACGCTCAATTACATAAGAGTGAAAACTTTCATTAAACACTGCACAATCCATTTCTTTACGCCTACTGCATAAAATATTCCATTCAAAATAATGTCTTCAATCTTTTAGAATATGTGTTTTGACTCACCACCTGACAGTGAGGACCACTCTCAGGTCCACATTATCCATTTAGACTTTGTAAAGGTTTAGGCAGCATGATAATATGTAATCACTGCTTGTTATATAACAAATCTGCAAATTCTTCCATCTCATAACTATTCTTGTTCACTGCATCCTAAACAAAATTATTCTAATTCAATTCAATTAAGACTATGTCTACACTTCAAGACATCACAGAGACCATTATCACTGCACAAAACGTCTACATGCACCTTTGTTCACAAAGCACAACTTCTTAAACTCACCATGTACTCAACTCTGTTCTCCTTATGCACTCCTAGGACCTGTGTGAAATCTCAAGATGTTTAGAGTCATTTCATTTACCCACTAGAATTGTTGTTTTCCCATAAATAACCTAGTTCAGGTAGCTCTTAGAAGGGAACAGCTCTTAAACTCTAGACAACATTTTCAATATGTGATAAAATCATTTAGACTGATTAATTTAACCCAAGCATTTCAATTTGAGTTTAGTTAAGACTGATTTATTTAACCCAAGCATTTCAATTTGTGTTTAGTTAAGAGTGTCTTTGACCAGAATAATTTTTTCCTTCATTTTACAAGTGTCACGGATTTTGTTTATTGCTTATTTTACATTCTGTAGTTTTTTAGTTGAATTTATAAACTGATCTTATTGTCAATTCCAAGAAGAAATTTTGGCTAATTTGTTTACAATGTGTCATCCAGAAATGCTTAAACTTAATTTGACCTGTTTATGATGTTTATTTCTCCTTCTTCCTTCGGCTTTTCCCTTTTCAGAAGTCACCACAATGAATCATCCTCCTTATCTCCTCTTAGGCCTTTGTCAGACCTACTCCTCACTTCTTCCAAGACCACCCCTACTCCATTTCTCTTTCTATCCACACCCTGATAAAACAGTTTGAACCCAGCACCAATGCTGCGAGCCTTGCTGCTCTTCCACTTGGTCTCTTTGACACCTCAACCATCTACCTTCCTTCTCTGCATCATGTCAGCAGCTCTCTGTCAGTAGCTCTCTACCTTTGCATGTCTGTGCAGTACGTTTCTTGTCAACTTAACTCTGTCCCTCGCCCGCTTAGTGAGTGGCTGTCTGCCATCTTCATCTTCCCACACAGCGAGCTGTTCCAACAATACCTCCAGCTGACTCCCTCTGACTCCATCTCTCGGTTAATTACCGCTCGTACACGGGATGTCCCCCTCTGGCCCTATGGCCTTGAGTTTCAAACCATTGCTGCAGATCAACTGTTCCAGAGGTTACTGCCTCCTCCTTTACCTCTGACACTGATTGAACACACAAATGTTTTTTGACGTCGCTCTCTTATCCCCCTGTTTATGTCTGGCCTCCGACAGCTGTGGTCTAATCAGCTGCTGATCATTCTTTCTATTTTAAACGATGTATTACATTTCTCTCCCAATGTTCAGTGACTGAAAATGGCGTTCAGATCTCCTCCTGCCAAGATCACCCCTAAAATGAGAGCATTAAGAATGTTCAGCCAACGACCTCCTCTCTGCTCACCCTTGTTTTACCTGGTCCAACCTCTGACCACCTGTCAGGCTGCTTCCTAGCCTGCCTGATGATGTACCACCTCCAAGCACCTCCTGTCTCCTCTACAGTTCCCGTGAATGAACCCTAATAAACAGTGTGGTTTGTTTGCCTATCGGACTACTGATATTCATGACCCCACCCACGTTTGGTCTTAACTTGGTGTTTTCCACAACTACCTGTCTGACAGTCTGTCTATCCATCACCTCGTTCCTTCTCACGCGGAATGTATTACAACAAAGTATGTCCTCCTCCCTCTTTTAAGCTGTATTCAGCTTACTTCAACGTTTTTGTACTTCTACTGACTTATTTCTGCTAATTTCTGAACACTGTGCTCCTTTCAGCTAATGTTTGGAAGATTCACATATTTCTGCTTACATTTCAGATACTATTTAGCTGTTTCATGCCAATATCAGCTAATTCCACTTTTCTTTTTAAATTAATCCAACTTTTACAGCCTAATTCAGGAAAACCAAGCTCTACCCACTTACTTCTGGTACTTTAAGATTATTTCTGCTTGTTTTAGCTATTGGTCTGCTGGTCTTTAGCTAATTGCCTCTGTTTTTTTTTTTGATAATTCCCATATTTTGTGCGCGTTTATACTTATTTCATATTCAAAATTGTTCCATATCGTTTAGATTGTTCACCAATATGCCCTTAACTCATGTATTGATCCTGTAGACCATATGTGTCAAACTCAAGGCCCGGGGGCCAAATGTGGCCCTCGTTGACATCTCATCTGGCCCCCAAGATGATATGTGAAACGTAAAATATTTCTCTCTCTTTAATTTTTTCTAGTAATCTTTGATTATGATGTCATAAACACAAGAAAGAACATCAAATGAGACCAATTAAACACTTGTTGAGGAACTTGTGACCAAGAAAAGACGTTATCTGATTTGAGTTAATGTAGATTCTGAAATTGGCCCTTAATTTGAAAAAGGTTTTAATTTTGGCCCCCTTTTGTAAGTGAGTTTGACACCCCTGCTGTAGACTTTCAACAGGAGTCACATGTTTCTCATTTATGAGTTCCACACCTGATGACAACGTTCACACACTCAGGCTTTCAAATCTTTTTATTCTCATTCACTGCTGGCCCCGTTGTGACAAAACAATTCACAAGTCTGTGTTATGAAAAAACCCAGTGAGTACAGACTTGTCCTTGCCTTATACAGCAGCGCCCTCTTTCGGTCAGGATATGGAAGCTCCACTCACCCACAGACACACACACAGAAAAAAAAAAAAAAAAACTAAGCCTTCCACACACAGACTCACTCACTCCCCCCTCTTTTTTCTTTTTCTTATTGTTTCGTCTTCCTCAACGCCTCCGGCCTTGAAGCCTTTATACAACATAGAAAACACGGCACAAACAATAGTTATTACAACGTCCTAACCCTAATGTGATCCCTGACCACAGGAAATTTGGCAAAACTACCTAAGTCCAAGACTTTCACATTTCCCTTTAAACTAAACTATTAATGGCGTCTTTTTAGTGGGCAGTCAACACCCACAACGCAGACGCAGATGTAGCTGGGGTCCCCGACCCGGTTCCCGTCTCTCTCGTCAGAGGGACGGTTCGTACGCCACCACCGCTGAAAAAAAA